TTAACCTTGAGCTGGTGAGATTAGAACCGCTGAACTGCAGATAACAGTCAGCTGTAGTGGCCTTCAGTACTGCACCCTAATCACTGCGCCACCTCAGCTCCCTGAGCACCTCCCCCTAGAGTCGGGAACGACAAGCACATATGTGTGAGGGGAACCTTTACCTTTAAGTCACCTAGAGTGGCCTCTTGGTAAGATGGGTGGCAGATCAATTTATCAAACAAACAAATAGATAAACAAATTTCTCCACCCATCTAAATGCTAAATGCAGGATCTGGCTTTTGCCACCAATCGTTTTGAAGTTTTAGGGCATGCGATTGGCTAACCTGTAATCCCTCACACTTCTGCGGTGACCTTGGCCGCAGATGGTGAAACATGTGGCACCTCAAGCTTGCCAATGGCTGAGTTGAGAACACCAAGCAACGCGAGTGTTGCCAATGGTCCCTGCTGCTCACTCCCAGCCTCTCCCCACACGCCCCTGGATTTGGTTTCACAGACAAAATGCTCTTTCTGTTCATGCGTTTCCGTTGGTTTTCAGTTGGAATCCAACTACTAGTAATGTAAAACTTTTAGCCTCCCCCCCCCCCTCTCTTAATACATTGGATATTTTGGAATTTAAATGTAGTTGTTTATTTCTTCACATTTAATGACCAGGGTTCCTCTTGGAAGATGTCACTGTTAGCCCAGGGAGCAATCTCACATTTGCGTCAGGGCCTCACTGGTCAGCCTGAGCTGCTCTGTAAATGCCCTGCTCATTTCCTAGGTAGGAAACTTTCCACTTGGTCTCCCAGAAAGACGTTTTTCTTAAGACTGAGAGAGAGAGCAAGCACTTTAATTTGTCCAGCTGCCTCTTCTATTCAATTGTGAGAGTTTTATTTACACAGGCAAGAAAAACCAAAAGTAAACATATAGACTGGACAAAACCAGGCTTAATAGCAGTAACTGTGAGAGGGATCCTGTTTTGGTCACCACACTATAATAAAAATGTTGAGACTCTAGAAAGAGGGCAGAGAAGAGCAACCAGGATGATGTGGGGATTGGAGGCTAAAATATATAAAGAACAGTTGCAGGAACTGGGCACAGCTAGTCTAGTGAAGAGAAGGACCAGGGGAGACAGGGTAGCAGTCTTCCAATATTTGAGGGGCTGCTACAGAGAGGATGGGGGGGATGTCAAGCTATTTTCCCAAGCACCTGAAGGCCAGACAAGAAATAATGGATGGAACCTGATCAAGGAGAGATTCAACCTAGAAATAAGAAGAAATGTTCTGACAGTGAGAACAATCAACCCATGGAACAGAAGTTGCCTTTGGAAGTTGAGGGAGCTTCATTAATAGAGGCTTTCAAGAAGAGACTGGACTGCCATCTGTCAGAAATTGTATAGGGTCTGCTTGAGGGGGGGGGGTTGGACTAGGTGACCTACAAGGTCCCTTCCAACTTTGTTAATCTAAATTTCTGACTGTTTGCTGTCTGGTTGGGTCATTCACAGCAGAGCAGAAGCATAAAATCTAAGACAAAGGCAAACAGAAGAAATTTGTTTAATTTTGCAGATTTGGGGGGGCGGGTTAAGAAAGGAGTGGGGATTTTGTTTTAAGAGAGCAAGAAAAGAGGAGCCTTCAAAACAGGAGTACAGAAAGTAGCAAACCTTGACTGAGAATATTTGATTGTGAATTAATTCAAGTGGCTTTTGAGATAGATTGGCACTCTTGATTAGGAGTGATTTAGATCATCCACTTCCTCTGCCTCCATTTTTCTTGCTGAGTTAAAACATAGTGTTAAATTATAGAACCACAGAATGTAAAAATTGGAAGATAGTCTTGGGATCATGGAACCCAACTCCTGCAGTTATCCTCACAATTGGCCATCCAACCTCATGAAACATTTTCTGAGAAATTGAGTCTACCGCTTCCTGTCCCACTGGTGAACAGCTTGTAGTTCTAGGACATTTTTCCCAGGGCCCAACCCAGTTCAACTTCCTTTTCATATAAACCCCTTTTTTCATATCCTGCTGTCTTCTGGAACACCTCTGAACATGACTCCTTCCAGATGTTCAAAAACAGCTGTTGGATGTTCCCATCTCTAGCCCTCACACACCCAATGCTTTTCATGGGTGCTGTACTCCAAGCTACTTACCATTTTGGTGGAGCTCCTCTGGACTACTATGGTCTATTTTATCAAAACATTTTAATTTAAATTTGTCTTCCTCAACTTGGTATAACCCAGATGGTTGCTTATAACCGATATGTTTTCATTTGCGGTTTGGGCTTCTTCCTTCGGGGCCGAGGGGAAACTTAGAGAATCTCTCATTTGTCCTTGATTTAAGGATGTGGCTAGTCCTTGTGTCCTTTCCATCTTCCCAACATTTGGAACTCAGCATCAAAGGCATGTAGGATAGAATTGTTTATTACTCTTACTGTACTAATCTCAAATACTGCAATGAAGATAGCTTTATCTTGGAAACTACTCAGCTACACCTGCAGAGATATTAGAAATAGGTATAGTGGGATACATTTGTGTGTTATTTTGTGGGAAAACACAGTGATGGAGAGGCTTGGTGATGTTGTAGCCTGCCAGTGGCCAGCTGAGCTGGCGGCAGACTCAGACAGTGAGGAGGTTGGGGAGGAACCTGGGCCAGTCCTGGAGTCTGGGAGGCTGGGGGAGGCTCTGAGGAGGGTTCTGTATCGGAGGCAGAGAGGGGCAAGAGCCGTCCGACAGTTATCAGCTGCCTTTGGAGTCAGAGATCAGTGGGGCAGAAGAACATCTGGAACCTGTTCAAGATGCATGTATCCGCAGAGCTGCCCAGAAAAGGGAACAGTTAAGGAACAAGGGCCAACTCAGGAGTAAAGGCACAAGTGGAAAGGCCTCTCCCATAGGGAATAAAAGAGGAGCAAAAGGGGAGTAGAGTTTGCACGAGACAATATGTTTGTATAGTATTGATACGGCCTGGCAGATCTCCAAGCCTGATAAGGTCTGTGGTTGTAAACTCCCCCTTGAAAGACTGTTTGCTGGATGTGAATGAGAGGAATGCACATTCGCTTAATAAAAAGGGGTTTTATCGGAACAAGGAGTCTGCTTTGTGATTTAGTGAAGCCAAGATCAGAACAGGTTAAAGTTTACCTTGCATCTGGCTAGTTGGGACACAACAAACTCTCTCCAGATGTTCTGAGTTTCTCCTTTTTTATCGTCACACAAACTAGAATTCACCTGGTGCACATGGTCTCAACTTCAGTGCCACAGGAGGACTGGTCACCATCCCTCGGGCCATGCTGGAAGCAGATGTGGAATACACGTTTGACCTCACCATCTCGAAACCAGGCATGGATTCAGAAGCCACAAATCAAACCGTATGTATGAACAAGGCACTTTCCTCCTGCTTGTTCTGCCCTCCATGCAAACACTTTCCATGTTGCCAGAGCTGAACCTTTCAAAGCAGCATGAAAAGAAAAGATGGAGCTATTCCTTGGGGATCTTCCTCACAAGGAAAGTGCCACCTCCGGCACATCATTTTCCTCAAGAATGCTTCTGGACTTCACACAAGGCCCCAGTGGAACTTGTAAAAAAAACAACAACAAAGCATGTGGCTTTCTGCAAAGTAAGGTTCAGGGGGGAGGGTGTCCATCTGCCTAAAAAAAGAAAAGGAAAAAAGAGCAGTAAGTTAAGATAGGGAGGAAACCTCCTGGGGTGTATCAGAGCTGAAATGCTCTGAAGTCTGCTACTGGTTCGCTTTGCTACCAGTTGACTTCGGGCATGCGTGCTACTGGTTCATCCAAACCGGTGGTAAAAAAAATGCTCCAACGATCAGCTGTGCGACAATTTCTAATCACACAGCACAGCTGATTGTCGCACATCTGATCATCGGAACTTTAAAAAATGCTACCGGTTTGGCTGAATTGGTAGCTCCAATAAGGAAATGAGACATTTTCTAACAGTGGGAACAATCAACCAACGGAACAGAAGTTGCCTTCGGAAGTTGTGGGAGCTTCATCCCTGGAGGCTTTCAAGAAGAGAAAGGACCTCCATCTGTCAAAAATGGTGTAGGGTCTCCTGCTTGGGCAGGGGGTTGAACTAGAAGACCTCCAAGGCCCTTCCAACTCTGTTATTCTACTAACCTGTTCAAAAGATCTGGTTGGGAAAATCAAAGGCAGAATAAAAAAAAAGCTTAGAAAAATGCATTGGCCAAAATTGGATCAAGTTAGCAAGAAAGCCTTGGCTGAAATAGTGAGGATACCAAGGAAACATTCAGAATTATTCCAACTGAAATACTGCTCCCAATGAGCCAGCTATGTAACCACTGGAGAATTAGAACGTAAAATGTGAAGGAATGAAGTGATAAAGAAAGGAAAACATAAAACTGGGCAAAGAGCCGAGCAATCTAGAACTAAGAAGAAATTTCCCAATAGTGAGAATAATTAACCTGCGGAAGTTTGTCTCCAGAAGCTGTGAATGCTCCAACACTAGAAGTTTTCAAGAAGAGATTGGACAACTGGTTTCCTGAAATGGTATAGGGCTTCCTGCCTGAGTATGGGGTTAGACTAGAAGACCTCCAAGGTANACAGTCAGCTGTAGTGGCCTTCAGTACTGCACCCTAACCACTGCGCCACCTCAGCTCTTTTGACAATGAGAATGGGAATGCTAAACCTAGCCATCACTGATACAGGGTAAAAAAACAAAATACTAAAATCATTCACGCCATTCAGTTAACTATGCCTAAAAGTCAAGGGGCTATTAAAATAGCATTCCATTATTTATTTGGCCAATCAACTAAAATAAAACAAGAGGAACAATTCTGGGACCTCTAGCTGTTACAGCAATTTTAAACTTCAAAGGAAGAGAAATACGGAAAAGTAGCTGGGGAGAGGAAGATAATAGGCATTGTGGTTCGTTACGCTATGTGTCGCAAAGTGATAACAGCAAGCAACAATGGAGAAGCAACTAGAACTGAAGAGTGCTAGAACTAGAAGGTAAGGACCTTCGAATTCAGCAGGGCTTTCTGTAAAAAATGGATGTTCCCTATGAGCAGTTTCCCTACCAAGAATTTTAATCATACTGAATAAGGGAAAACAGACCTTTTAAGATCAAACACTGCTTAGTTTTTCATGCCTGAATTCTCTCTTATAGCTCCTTTGGCTAACAGGATTATATAAAATAAATCTTTAATATTGCAGCTAGGGAATTAAGGCCAATGGGCTATTTCCCAAGACAACCACTGCTGAGCCGAGAGTGGAATACAGTTTCCTAAAGTTATATCTATTGGCATCCAAAAGAGCCCCAATGGCTCACGGACACTAATGATTTACGACTTAAGCAGACGTGGAATTAAGCCATAAATGGTACTCAGAAATAAATCAAAATTAGTGGCTTCTTGGTTTGCTCAGCTATATCATTCTGGACAGCAAATAATAGCTTAAGTCTGCTGTCCAAGCCAGCATGAATAACAGTGATAGAGTGTTGTGCTCTACAACACCTGGATGGTCATGGCTTGCTCATTCCTGTCCGAGAAATAAGCATAAATGTTTAGGGTCTTGAATGTGTTCCTGCTGAAAAAGTGCCAAGAGTGAATTTCTATTCATGAGATGCTTGAATTCAGTGACAGAAATCTTGACTGTTACCAACTGCAAATTTGCTTCCTAATAATTTACTTTTGAATATACTAGCTCACTTTCTGCGCCGTCAGAAATTATGTTCTATTGATACTGCAAAAGCTGTAAGAGAAATAAGAAAATGATTATTCAATCTGAAAACTGCAAACTTAAAAACTAAAAGAATCAGGAATAACAATGACTAACAGCTCTTGAAAAATATAGGAAGAACAAAGAAGCATGATAAAATCTAGTCACGCCGTTTATTGTCATAACTCTTCTACCTGCACGGAAAATCACATAGCCTATGCTTAATAGTGAGCATATTTTCCCAGAAATAAACCCTGATGTGCTCAATGGGCACTTAAGAATGCAATTATAAAGTTCTTGACTCTGCTTTGATGATCCCAGCAGATGTGCTATTTATTCCTTTGTTAGTCATAATTTTATGGAACTATAATATTGTGGGGGGGAGGGCAGCCAGAGTCATTACTCATTCTTCTCTGCAATTTATGCCTACACAGAAAGAAAATGTTCAAATAACTTGCAAGAGCTAAGCCTTTATTTGATCACCTTTGATGAGTGTCTCGTTTTATATGCTCAAAAGTTTAGCACATGCTGTTTTTAAAAATGACTATGGGACTGTGCACATCCCATTTCTGAAGTCAGCAGATATGTCAAAACACTCCAGAAGATTCCTAACAAAAAGTCTTGGCTGTACTAGGAAGAAGGAGTTTTTATGCCCTCTAGACGTTTTGAACCACAAGTCTCCAGATCCCTGGATACAGGCCCTGGCAACTGGAGATCATGAAAGTAGAATTTTTTTTAAAAAAAAAACCCATCTGGAGGACATTTTTTTAAAACAATTTTTATTTGTTTTTGAACAAGGACAAACAAACATAAAAAGAAAAAACCCATCTTCCATTACAAATTGTAGAAAGT